TGCAGCACGCACATGCATTAAGCTGCCTCCCCTCCCCAGGAACAGACCACTGATCTCTTACAGGAGGCAGATGAGGAAGGAAATCACCTGTTCAAAAATAGGGCTTTTATTTTTATGTAAAAAAGAGTAAATAAAAATGGACTTTTTTTCTTTCTGCTCAGGTTCGGGCAGCCACCAGCTGCTGGCCCCACTGCCTGCGTGTATCTCTAGCATTGGAGGGGAGAAAAGTCAGAAAAGCAATGCATGAGGCCAAGACAAGCGTTACAGAATCTCTGCAGGGATGAAGCTCAGAACAAAGCAGAGTGGATCCTTCCCATGTGGAAGAATCCCATTAAAGGGGCTAAAATCTGGCTCAGCATTACCCCTGTGAGAGGAATGAGACCTCCCACCCCCAGCAAGCCAGCCCAGATAATTGAATCAGGACAAGAAACCACTCAAGGCCCACAGCGCGTGCCCCCTTGCAGACGTGCCTCTGGCAAAGCTTTTCCTCATGGAAGACTCCAGTCCCAACAGCCCTTTTTAGCACAGCATACTGGTTACTTCACTTCTGCCCCCCAAGCAGCATCCCAGTTTCCAGCCTTCCAGAGCGTATTGGCTATCCAAGCCATGGAAGGCAACTGAAAGTGTTGTGGTCCCATTCCAGTATGTGGGTAGTGGGTAGAGGAGAGCGAATTGCAGCCAGAGGTACACACTGACAAGGTCCCTGGGGCACTGGGTCTGGGGATCAACCAACAACTAACACGCAGGTTCCCGCACTATGAAGCGAAAAGCAGGAATTCCATGTTCTAATCCTTTTATGATAAAGGGTTAAAAAAGCACTGAGGAATCTCGGGGTGGACTATTTGATTTCATCTAGCCAAGGGCTGAAACAAGCATATGGCCAGGTCAAAACAAAGAGCCCTTCCAATAACCGATTTGACTGTTGTTCATTCAGATGGGCCATGACAAAGCCAGTCCTCCAGACACCAACATTCTATGACGGTCAGGTAACAGCTCCAACCTTGGAGGAAAAGGAAGAGGCAGGACAAGAGGAGGGAGAAACATTATTCCTCCCTCTCAAGATGAAATCAGAGACACCAAGTAAGAGCCAGAAGCTACAGCTTCCCTGAAGATACCACTTCTATTGGCGTCATGGTGCTCAGCTTTAGAGAGCAATCCAGTGCAGGAGCAGTGAGGCATCCCACTCCTCTGACAACCCTTAAAACAGGATGAGGAGAGGTACCCGAGCAGGGCATATCCTGGGCAAACACACCCGCTCACACGTGTACACAACCGAAAAGGAACCTGGAACTTGCTGGCCACTCTGCCATGCAGCCAGTCCTCTTTTTGTCAAGGCCTCAGACTCCTCCCTCCCTGCTGAGGAGGTTTTCCTGCTTTGGACAGATCCAGTTGCTTACTCCGAGCTCTCTTCTACCTCCTTTTGTTTCTTTTTCTTCTTCTTCTTGGTGCTTGTCTCACTGGTCTGCAAAGAGGTTGGAGATATCAGGAAGGAGTCAAAAAGGAATCCCTCACTGCTCATTTCAGTAGGAACAGTCCCACTCCAGATGCAGTGCAGGCTCCCCATGATTGCAATCCTCTCACTGCCATACAAGCACTCAAGCAGACCGACTGTCAGCACCAAATGGAGCCTGCTGGGACCCGTTACAGGGCATCAGAGCACAGAGGCCTGGCAGGAACATGTACCTATGAACAGCCCCAGGGCACAGACAGCTGTTCACCCCATCCCTGCCTCACCACAGACCGATCCCAAAAGCTTCACCTGCCCAGTCTCCCACCACCCTCAACCAGTTCAGTCTTTCTCCACCTGTGGGGAGCCTGGCACTTGGGGGACACGCACACCAGGATGCTGATGCATTTGTCCTGCAGGTATTGGGGAGAGACAGCAACCTCCTCCCCATGCTTGGACTGTACCATGGGAGCACCCCACTACGTACCACTTCTATTTGCTCCCCTCCACTCTCAGCTGCCTCTTTGGCTTTCTTCTCTTTCTTCTTCTTTTTCTTTTCCTTTTTGCTCAGCTCCTCTGGTGGCGGGCTGGCAGGGGATGGCGGGCTCACAGTCTCCTCGCTTTCACTCTCCGACCCTCGCTTCCTCTGTCAGAGAAACACGCTGTCAGGCACACCACCTCCCAAAGCTGCTCCCATCATGGAAGACCTGTTTGCAAGCCCATTGCAACTACTTTACCTGATTCAATCAAACTACACAGTTAACAATGCTTTGAGCAGCAGGGTGAAGGTACAGACTTGCCTTAGTCCCCTACTGCATACACTGGCTAGGACTTGCGTCTGCACCCTGTCCCCAAATGCTGCAGAGTTTGAAACTGCTGCATCTTTCCAAGTGCATGCACAAGCCCTGACTTGGGGCACTTTAGGCACAACTCTTACATGGACATTTCTGCAGCTGGCTATAGCCTCCAGAAAGGTTTCCTGGCACAACAGATCTCTCCTGTGGCTCCACGCAGTGGATTCCTTTGGATGCTGCAGCTTGTACACCACAAATCAGAGCTCCTCGTTCTCATACTATGAGCTACAGGGCTCACAACCAAAGGACAACATCCCAGAGATGAGGCCCTAAACAGCTAGCTTATGGGCCATGCAACCACAATACACATCTGGGCACTAGGCTCCCAGAATGTGAAACACCTTCCCCTGTAAAACAACCAGCCAAAGCAGCACTCAATCCAGCATCTGATACCAGCTGCCTTAAAGAAACAGGTGCGGACCCACCCTTCATCAGGGCCCAAACCACCTCACAGCCAGAGAGCTCTAAAGATACTCACTTTTGGAGCCCTCTCCGGCTCTGAAACAGCAGGTGCCTCTTTCCTGGAAGTATCCCTGAAAGAGAAGATCCCCACACTGAGCAGGACAGTGAGGAACTGACTCGCACTGCTCTGTACAAGCACAGAGCCCCATCCTGTCTCAAGGGCTCTGTAACCCACAGTGGGTGCTGGGTGGGGAAGCTGGGTGTGGGGAAGACCTGCAGCCTGCACCAGGGTCAGACAAGGCAGGGCAACAGCAAGGCTTCCCCCATTTAATATAGCAGACTGACTCCCTCTAAAACCACAAGCACAGGCTAGAAAGGGATAACTGTCTGCTCAGGGCCTTTCCCTCCACCACTGCCCACCAGCAGCATGCTCCATCCAAGAAATGCCACCATACCCTATAGGTCCAGAGAGCCACCAGCTTTGTGCCAATATGCTTGGAGCACAAATGGCAGCAGCCCAGCCCTCACTGCACGGGGCTCCCTTCTGCCCCATCATGCAGGAGCTGTACCCACCTGTAATCCACATACTCCTTCTTCCAGGAATCCGGTGTGCTCTCATTGGGCTTTCCGTGCTTGTCCAGCAGACCCTTCTGGATCATCATCTTCTTTTGACTGGCCTGAGAGTAACATGCAACAAGTCAGACTGCAGCTCCAGGAAGAAGAAATCATCCCCAGAGCTTCATCCACTCGATCTAAGAGGAGGTACTCCAGGAACAAACCAACTACAGCATTACTTAACACTTCTCTAAGGACCTTATAAACATCCCCCGCACAGCAGCCTATAGGAACGCATATTCACCACTGAATAAAGGCTAATTTGTGGGGGAAGTAATGGCAGCAGTGTAAGATGACTCTGCACACAGAATCACAGAATATTCTATGTGGACCTTCAATCATGGATTGGTTTCACCACCTTAGTGACCTGCTACATTTCAGCGGAACCACTCCAGCTGCAAATGCAGGGCACTACTAAAGACTCCAAGGTACTTGCACGGGCCTCCATCACCTCACATTCGCTGTGAGCCTCTCCAGAGCCATCAGTATGGGGTGATAGATGAAGGTCATCTTTGCACAGAGCTCTAATGCCATCCATTTCACATCATTTGGCTCTTTACCAGAGGAGGGCTGGTGCTGTACAGACCTGAGGAGCTCGTGCCTGAGCAGCAGCCCCAGCTGGGCCTCAAGCAGAGCTGCCCAGGATCCATGGGGAGGGAAAGCCTCACTCCCACTGGCACTGGGCTGGCACAGCCCCAGCACTGGGAATCATCACCACTGTGGCTCCAGGACAGCACATCTCTGCCTGAGAGTTGTGAGGTCCCACATCCTGGAAATGACCATGCCCCCACAGCACTCACCTTGGGACCGAGACCCCATTTGCGGGGGTACGTATCTCTCTCCATGATCACTCTCTTGATCTTTGCCACAACACCATGGTCGCAGGTAGAAATCACTGCTGTGGTCATCAAGGCAATGGCTGCAAAAGCAGGCAGAGAGTTCATTAACTCTTAAAAGCACAACTGTGACAGCAATGCAGGAACCTGCTGCGTTCAGCCTGTTCTTCTGTCAGCACAAAGAGGAGCAACATCTCCCACTAGTGCCATTTCACCCCAAAACCTCACTGAAGGTAGGTTCTGAACTAAATCTTCAGAGACCTGCTCTTCTCAAAGGCAGCAAGTCCATCAGTGATGGATTAACCACACCATAAGCCTCTATCTTACATAGACTGGTTCTGGATCGGCAAACACAGCAAGACCACTTCACAGAGCAGCACCAACACCACCACTGGATGGGAAGAGCTCTGTAAGCAGCTCCTGGAGCACTTCCAGGCAGCTCAAGGAACCATACCAATACAGAAAGGAGCAGTGATGCTCCTTTATCAGCTCACAAAACCTTGCGGAGCCAAACATAGGAGACTAATCCTACCAATAAATGTTTTCATCACCAGGTCCCCAAGATGACCAGAGTGCAGGCAGCACAAACAGCAGGATGGAACAGCTTGCCTGTTTACCCCTCCAAGGCCCATCAGTCCCACGGCTCTGGCCAGAGCATGAGACCATGCAGCACTGCACACCATGACAGATCATCTGTACAGTCTGTCAGTCCCTGGCACCTATACAGCTTCTCTGAAGACCCTGGTTAGAACAAAGCACTCCCAGAATCATTTCACAGAAGCTGGGAGTTGCTCAAGTCCTTTTACACTGATTTGCTCAGGAAGCATGATGTGCAGGTGGCAGTATGTGATCAGACATCATCCTTCATCTCAGTGAGGACAGAGCCCCCCAGAGAGGGGCTCCAACCGTGCCGGCACCACTTCACTCCTGCAGGCAGCCAGCCACACACCACAACAGCCCCCAGTAGGACACTGGCAGACCAGAGGGTCTCTGGAGGCTGCACAGCACCCAGACCCTAGAACAGGAATCAGGGTGCTGCAGGAGGGCAGCACCACTGCACTCAGAGAATGGATAAACTTTGTCATCATCTCACACACAGAGCACACCTGAGCATCCACACCTGAAACCAGGCTGAGGAATTGTTCACACCTTGCCAAGGACTGACACAGCCACTGTTTCACATCCTGCCCAACACCAGCTGCCTTGGGCCACACTAACCCACAGTTCCCATTAGGAAGCACTATCTAAACCATCTACAGATAGATGGGGACCTATTTGCTGTGCAGTCACTGGAACACAGCTTGTTATTTCTGCAGCTAGCTGGGCACAAGAAGAACAGGAGTTTCCTACCTAGGCAGATAGCTTCTCCTTTTGTGGTGATGACGACAATCTCTTGATTAAGCTCAATTCCATCTTCATACCTGAGGACACCAGGCAGCATAATCTTGGCTCCATAGCAAATGGCATTAACCTGAAAACAAAGGAAACAGGAAGGCTTATAAGTCAATATGAGAATAAAAACAAGGTAAGAAGTGCCTCTAATATTCTAGCTTCCCATTGCTGTTACAGTCCCAGCAATAACATTTCTTCTTGTCCATTATATAAAACTTCAGAACTTTCTAAAAGAACTAAGCAAAGCAAAGCACCTATCACAGCAAACATGTGAGGCAGATCTCTTACAACCATCAGCATCCTCCTGAAGTGAGGAGAGCAGCTTCTCTGCCACTCAATTCTTGCCTCTTGCATCTTACTGCTCATCTGGCAGTGGCCCATACTAGGTCCTACACAGCTCACCCTTCGGACAGAACAGGACACCATGTGGGCCCTGATCCTCCATGTATTATATCAGCTGTACAAGTGAGGAGGACACTGCAGTCTCTGGCTCTCAGCTAGCACTGCGCTAGGAGCTCACCGCACTGTCTTTCATGACCAGCCGCTTGTGTGAAGTCAGCAGTTTCTCCAGTGGCAGGATAACTCTTCGCAGGTAGCTGTCATCCTTGTTGTTGTCATACTGCCACTGTGCATCCAGTACATCATGCATGGTCACCATGTTGTCCTGTGAAGATGAAGACACAACTTTTCTAAACTCTCTTCCAGCCATTAACTTGAAACACACACAAACAGCTGAAGTGCAACAAAAGGAGTGAAAAACATATCCAATTCAGAAGCATCAAAAAAGCAAGCTAAAAGAGGCAAGAATACTTTCCATCAACAACTTGAGGTCAGCCTGATTTGTGCTACCACAGACTTCAACCTTCCTAATCTCAGAGAGCACTTGGATCTAATGCATCAGGTGTGTCCACATGAAACTGAAATATGACCAAATTTAAACAACTATCTGGGACTTCTAGGCAAAGCAGTCTAAATTAACCAGCTCTGCAATCCGTGACATGGAATCAATTCTTGAAGCAGCTGTACACACCCAATCCCTGGAATTCAGAAATGACTGCAGGGATTACAGCTGCAGTAAGAGCACACATAGGTGGGGAAGCACTTCCACTGATGCATGTTTTGCAAGAAATCAGTCCTGGAGTCTGGACTGGCCGCATGATCCAGCTATGACCAGACTAAAGGACCATACTGTGTTCACAAGCCTGCACCTCCCAGGCTCAGTCTGATGAAGCACATTCCCTGCATTATGCCCTGACACCAAGCGGTCACAGATTGCAAAGCAGACAGCCCATTCACCTGAACTCGTGGCACATGCACAGTTTGTAGGCTGAGAAACACAGGTGGCATGAAACACACTTTCAGTCACCATGGTACACTTCCCAGTCATTCACTGTCCCAAAGCTTAATTACCAGAACAGGGACACCACCCTGAACTGAACTCAACACTTTGGTTCCAGACTATCTATGGCAAGAGCTCCCACGTTTTCAGGGCTATTCACTAAACTCCCCCATGCTGCCATGCACCAGTACCTTCTCCTAACTCTGTAAAACTAATGCAGTTCCAAGGAACTCATACAATTCTGACAGGTTCAAGCTGGCTGGTTATAGTTAGTGGTACCACTCTACCTTCTCTCCCAGGATGCCCGAGCGCACTCTGCGGAGCTCCTGCATCTGGCCCCCTACTCCAAGCAGCAATCCAAGGTGAACACAGAGTGTTCGGATATATGTGCCTGCTTCACAGCTCACCCAGAAGATACCTGAAACAGAGGGCAGGACAAGAGAGTATTTAAAGACGTATCCAGAAATGAACCACATCTAGAAACTCCAAGAGAAGCTGTACACTGAATCCTTCACAGAGCCATCAGCCTGGGGTGATAGATGAAGGTCATCCTTGCACTGAGTGCTAATGCCATCTAAATTGACATCATTTGGCTCTTCAATGAAGGATGCAGCAGTAAGAAACAGAGGATTTGCTTCTCAACACACCCAAGTAATGCATGATGCAGTTGGTGGTGAGGATTTCTCAACACATCCAAGTAATGCATGATGCTTGATGGTGGTGAGGATTTAGGTCTGAAGACATTTGCCAAGAATAGGAAGCAGCCCATTTCACAGGAAATTTTATCAGCCATCAGTTTAATAGGAAGAAGGCAGGAAAGCCCTGTTTTACCTAATCTTCTCTCAGGATCATACTCCACCAGCTTGCTCTCATAGATAGTTCTGACTCTCAGTTGTCGCTTGACAGCAGCAATGAGGGGTGGTCGCTGAAACAGCGCGCCTGTCAACGTTTCTATTGCCTAAGGATAGAAGCAGAAGTAACCATTGACACCTGTATCCCAACACCTTGGGGTCTCCAGCAACTATGACCACTTCCATGAGCAAGAAGGTTCACCATAATTTGGTGATGTCATATTTAATAAAGCCAATGTGAACCACGGATGTGGTCTAAATGCGACCCCAGTGAGCACAGCTGGGCTTTTTCATCAGGTGGCAGTATGTGATCAGACATCATCCTTCATCTCAGTGAGGACAGAGCCCCCCAAGGAGGGGCTCCAACCGTGCTGGCACCACTTCACTCCTGCAGGCAGCCAGCCACACACCACAACAGCCCCCAGTAGGACACTGGCAGACCAGAGGGTCTCTGGAGGCTGCACAGCACCCAGACCCTAGAACAGGAATCGGGGTGCTGCAGGAGGGCAGCACCACTGCACTCAGAGAATGGATAAACTTCATCATCACCTCACACACAGAGCACACCTGAGCTCTGCTCCTACCCTCTCATCTGTACACTTTGCATGTGCAGTGCCAGCATGGCTGAGAGCATGCTGAGACTTACCCTGGCAAGCTGAGCCTCACTCTCAATTGCATTGTGCAGCCGAACAATTCCCACATACTCTTTGCCTGAAAAAACGACAAGAGCAGTCAGGAGTGGCCACTTGCATTTAATGTTGACCTCAAGGTCCTCCCTGCTTCACAGCCAGAGCCCTGAAGGGTTCACAACCACCTCTCCTACAAAGTATGCACAGTTTGGTATGGAGCTGGCTATTCTTCCAATGAAATAAATCTGAGCTACATTTATTCTTCACTGATTTTATTTCACTGGACTTATAGAGGCCGTAAGTTCTGTTAGCACACAAAAGCAGTCTGCCAGAAATGTTTTCAGTGACTTCAAACTGCACAAGCCTCAAAGAGGCAATCAAGGAAAAGAACCTGATTCAGCATGGATGCACCTTCCCTAGCTTGGAGTATGAAGGACAAGCAAACCCTAGGCTCAAAGCACTGAAGACCAAGGATAGTCCTTGTCCTTTCAAAGACTGGAAATCTCCATTTTGTCTTCAAAAGAACCCCACACCTCTCCATTTATACTGAATGATCCCAGGCAATAAACATACCTGCACTCTGCTGAGATTTGACCAGTCGTGTTGCCCTCTCAATGCACACAATGAGGCACCCAGTCACCTTAGGATCCAGAGTGCCACTGTGTCCTGTCTTCTCTACTCGAAGGATGCGTCGGATCCATGCAACCACCTCGTGGGAAGATGGATTGGAAGGTTTGTCGAGGTTAATAAACCCAGACCTACAGTGCAAGATGACAGAGAACAGGAACTAAGCACTGAGGCAAATACATCAAGAGCATAAAAATGCTGATGATATTTATTATGGCTGCAAAGAAATGTATTTCTCTGCAGCCAAGTGAGCTGTGAACCTCACAACACTGCTCTCAGTGAGCACATGTTGAGCTGCTCTGCATGCAGCAGTGAGAATATTTCATGGTCAAAGAACTCTCTTTTCCCCAAACTTCTCATCACTACTCTGCACTTAAGCCAAGGCAAGTATTAGAAACAAACTCCAAGCAGTCTCAAAGCCTAGCAGGCTGTAAGACCCCAGAGAACTCAAGTGTTTAAACGTGCATCCAGACCAGCCACAACCCCAGAACAAAGCAAGCATTATCAGAAGTGATCAGCAGCTCCTATTTAGACACTTAGTGGTAGTAGCAAGGCACTGAGGTGAGCAGAAAGGTACAAGGAGGATCCAGAACAGAAAATATGTTGAAGATATTAACTGCAAAAGAGAAATAAACCACTCCAGCCTTTACTGCACTCACCTCACATAGTCAGAAATCTCTCTCTTCAGGGGATTAGCACCAAAAGAAAGAGGTGTGTAGTGTGCTGTCATCACATTTAGCTTGTCAAAGTTCTACAAAAATCAAAGCAAAAGTTACAAGTGTTTGTGAGCTCACCTTAAGTTTCAGGGTTGCTTTGCCCCAGTACATCTCCCCAGTTACACAATGTCTGATTTGTACATTTGAGTGTAAGAGGCTCTTCCAAAATGAAAACGACCCAACAATGAAACCACACTTTATGGGAAGAGAAAGAAACATAAGTCCTGTACTGAAAGTGATGTGAAAGCAGCAGAATACCAACCTTTACAATGGAGCAAAAATCCAGTGTGCCCCAGAAACTCAGCACAAGCAATACATAAGTACACACAGCTCACAGGCAACCAAACTAAATAGAAGAAATCTGGTTGGGTCTTTACAGGAGAGATGGAAAACTTATAAAGCAGACATAGAAATGATGCTGCAAGACAAACGTTGTAACACGATTTCTGCATACAGAGAGCTGTTCCCTAGCCGTAGGGTTGCACAGAGAAGGAGCTGTGCCTCTCCAGGGCCTGCACTGAGGACAAAAGATGCAGCAG